TTTTTTTTTTTTTTGAGAGATTTTCACTGTAGGGCGCGTGCGCTCGCCAGACAGACAGAGAGAGACATAGAGACAGAAAGCGAGAAATCACCCCCCAGGGGGGATGGTCACGCCGCAATCCCTTCTCCTCCATTCTCCTCTCGGGATCCTGGGCACGCACGCACACGTGCCCGGCGTGAGTTTTAAGCCACCGGGTCCGGGACACGAACCGCGGTCGACTACGTGGGAGTCCAGCGACATAGCCATTACGCTAACTGCTGGTTCCCCCGTGTGTGTGTTTTTTTAAAAGAAAATCTCCTAGATCCAGAAGCACATGTGGACACTGGAGACTGCTACGGGGACAGAGAACGCAGCATGAGGGAGAATGAGAACACAGCCAGACAGCGTCGGGCTCTGGAGAAGGCAGAGGAAGAGGAGGAAGAGGAAGAAGAGGAAGGAGGTGAAAAGAGGCAGATGTAGTTTGCTCTCAGAGGCTGTCAGGGCCCAACTCTAGGCTGGCAGCCTCCAGTAGGGAGTAGTGGCTGGATTCTATAGGCCCAGCCAACCTCAGCTCCACCCTTCCATCTTACATGGGAAAACTAAGGCTCCGAGAATGAGAAAGAGTGATTCACACAAGTCGGAGCCTGAGCAGGTTCTAGCTCTCTCTCTCTGCCTCTCAAACAAAAGTTCCACTTATTGGAGCTTCACCAACTTCTTCCCTGAACAGAGCCTTCAGGGCTTGGATGGTGGGATGCCCTATAGGTCAGGCCATGTTGCCATCACTCCTTTCCCAAATCTCATTTCCACTCATCACCTGCTCATTGTCTTGGCCAGGCACTGAGATCGCCATCATCTTAGATGGTTCAGGAAGCATCAATGCCACAGACTTTCAGAAAGCCAAAGACTTTATATCCAACATGATGAAGAACTTCTATGAGAAGTGTTTTGAGGTAGGCATCCCTAAGAGCTGCTCTTAGTCTATCAGTTTCCTATTGCTGTATAACAAATTGCTTCAAAAAAGCAGTCACTTTCTTTGCTTATAATTCTGTGGGTCAGATATTTGGGCTGGGCTCAGCGGGATGGTTCTTCTGTTGGCTTTGGCTGGAGTTATTCTCCAGCTGCAGGCATCTGGTGTCTTGACTGGAGCTGGATGGCCTAAGATGACCTCTACTTACTTGCCTGGGCCATGTGTCTCAGCAGGGCAGCCCAAGGTTTTCATGGCAGCAACATTCTAGAAGACCTCTTGGTCTTACACACACAAGCACTTACCAAGTCTCTTCATTATATCTGCTGATGCTCCATTGGTCAAAGCACATGGTCAATCCTATAGTCAATATGGAGGGAGATTACATAGAGACATGAATTCAGGAGAAATCTGCGATTCCCAGGGGGTCATTACTACTACCCATCCTCCACTGCTACTTGCTTAGATTTCCCTCTGCTTCAGCCTCTCCTTTTGCCCAGGGACAAGATAGAGTGAGTGGGTTATTCCAGTGCTCCAGGGGGAGCCATCTCAGGGAAAGGGGTGGCCTTGGGCATGGCAACTCTGCCTACCTCCTACCCTGCCTCCACCCCTTCCTTCCAGTGCAGCTTTGCCCTAGTGCAATATGGGGAGGTGATCCAGACTGAGTTTGACCTTCGGGACAGCCAGGATGTGAACGGCTCTCTCGCCCGAGTCCAGAACATCACTCAAGTGGGGAGTGTCACCAAGACTGCCTCAGCCATGCAGCACGTACTGTGAGTATGAGGACAGTGGGAATTACCCCAGCACCTACATGGTACTGACCCGTGGCCCTGCCCAGAGACTCTGTGACGTTATGCCTGGAGGTAGCTGGGCAGAACTGTGAGAGGAGGGGTCAAGGTTCAGGCTCTTCTCTGGCTGAGAGGCAATATGAGGGATGACACACCAGGATTGCCCTCCAAAAATTCTTCCAAAGACTTTTTTTGTGAGAGGCAGTTAGACACAAAGTACTCAATGGACAGGCTGCCTGGGTTCAAATCCTATGTCTGACTATACTGTGTGACCTTTGGCAAGTTACCTAGTCTCTCTGTGCTTCAATTTCCCAGCTTTAAAAATAAGGAATAGTACTTGGCTCATGGGGTTCTGTGAGGATGAAATGAGCTAAAATGCATAGAGTATTTACAGCAGCGCCTGGCACATAGTAAGTGCTATGGACGCATCATCCATGGGTTTAGTGCCATCACTATTCCTGCACACACGGAAGGACAGGCCCACGTGCTGTCTAGCACCGTTCTGTTGGGAGCAGGTAAGGAGAGAGAGCCCCGGTCACAGCCCTACCTCCACTTACTCTTACAAGTGACATAAAGGCATCAGCGCCCTCTCTGGGCCTTTGGTCCCCATTCAGGAGGGCTCACGAATCCTCTCCAATTCCTAAACACACCAGGGAGTAAAATCTCCCCCAGGGCTCAGTCATCTTTCTGGAAAAGTTTTCCTCTTCATCTCCTCTCCCCTCCTTAGAGACAACATCTTCACGCCAAGTCATGGCTCCAGAGAAAAGGCAGCTAAGGTCATGGTGGTGCTGACAGATGGTGACATATTTTGGGACCCTCTCAACCTCACCACTGTCATCAACTCCCCAAAGATGCAGGGTGTGGAGCGCTTCGCCATCGGGGTAAGAACTGGGAGCTGGGGGTACCTCCTGAGCCTGATCAGCCTGGGGTGGGGAAGAGCTAAGGGGTTTCTGGAAGCAGCACACCCAAATCCTGCCCTAGTCACACGTACTTCTCCCAGTCCCTGCACCCTGTGTGTCCCCTCCCCCAAATGGGCTTTTCTAACAGAGGCTCACTTGCCCGTGGTGGTCTGAGCAGCAGTGTGAGAGCCCACAGGAAGGACTTCCTGGAGGAGATGGTGCCAAGTGTAGTCCTGGAGGATGAACAGGAGTAGCCAGCCTAGTTCAGAGGGGAGGCGGGAAGGGCTTTGCAAGCAGATGGAACAGCATGGCAGAGATGAGAAGAACCCTGGGAACATTCCAGAAACACACGTAGTTTGATAAAACTGGAGTTTTGCTCTGTGTGTGTGTGTGTGTGTGTGTGTGTGTGTGTATGTGTGTGTGCAGGAGCAGGGAAGGAAGGAGGAGGAAAAGTGGCAGGTGATGGAGGGCCCTGAAGGACCAGGCAGTGGTGTTGGCTCTCCCCCTGGGCCTGGTGAGCTCTTGCAGTGCTGACCTGCTGACCCACTGACCCAGGGTCTCTGTGCAGGTGGGCAGTGCATTTAACAAGGAGAGGGCCTACACAGAACTGAAGCTGATCGCCTCAGACCCCGATGAGACCCATGCCTTCATGGTAGCCAACTACTCGGTGCTGGATGGGCTGCTGAGCAAACTGCAGCGGAACATTATCCGCATGGAAGGTGAGGACTCCGGGCTGGGCCACCCGTGGCAGCCCCCTTGACGTTGGGCAGGAGGCCTGAGCCCTGTGTCCTACCACTATGGGATAGTCTGCGCAGCTCCCCTCAACTCCCTAAGCCTCCGTTGTTCCATCTCTAAAAAGGCCACAATATGCCCAGTCCTCCTGACTTCCCAGCTGCCTGCGAGCTCTGATGATCTGAAAGGTGCTAGAAAAGTAAGGATGCTGGGGCTTTGTTTCTTTTCCCAGGAGCTCAGAGATGAGAAAACTGAGGCCCAGAATGGAAGCCGGCTGCCCTGGCCTACTCAGCCGGGAGTGGCTACAGCAGGAAGCAGGCCTCTCCTCTCAGCCCTGTGCTTTTTCCTTTATACCATAGCTCCCCGGCCATGTGGGCCCATTGGTTTGGTTTCTCCCTTCTCCTTGACCCGCAGCAGTGTCTCACTGGTTTCTTGGCTTCCAGGCACAGTTGGAGAGGCCATTCGCTACCAGTTGGCACAGACTGGCTTCAGCGCCCAGCTCCTGGACAAGGTACACGCTGACTCAGCACTGGGCGGGCTTGCTGGCAACACCCGGGGCTCTGGGACTCCTGGCTCACGGGCAGGGTCTGCCCTCCCTGTGGAAATGCCTCTGAAGGGGCCATCTTAGGATGAAGGGACACACTTCTGCTTGCTGTGTCTGGACCATTAGACTGATGAATGAAAGGTCATGTTTAGTACAGGTGGTTTTGTTCTGTGTGCTCAGACACCGGGCTGTTCCCCTTTACGGGCCAGGAAGCGGGACTTGGCCTGGCTCAGCTTGCCAACCCAGCTGCTGACTTCTCCTGCAGGGCAGCACTGTTCCCACACATAGGGAGGGAGCCAGGCCCCCGAGGTCGCAGTCCTGTGTATGGTGGAAGCAGTTTGTACCTTCCGTCCACACAGGTGGGCCTTGTGTCCAGCTCAGGCTGGGAAACCCGAGGAATAGCAGATGAGCACTCTCTTGCTGGATCATACTTGATTTAAAATGTTCAACATCTGGATCCCTGGTGGCCTTCTGGAGACAGAGCTGCCCCAGCAGGGTCATTCATGGGTACAAGGTGGGACCCCAAAGTTTTTCCATCTCACCTTCCTGTCTGCACCTCTGCCCAGGTGGGCACGATCCTTTGAATGCACTTCCTACTTCTTTCCAGCCAGGTTCACTGCACTGGCCTGTGGGCCCGCGGCCACCATAGCTGGCCCCAGGGTCCCTCCTGCTCACTGGGCCTCATATTCCTGCAGGGGCAGGTGCTGCTCGGGGCCGTAGGAACCTTTGACTGGTCTGGGGGTGCACTGCTTTACGACATGCACAGCCGTCGCGGCCGCTTCCTGAACCAGACTGCGGTGGACGCCAAGGTTGCGCAGTACGGCTACATGGGTGAGCCGGGCCAGATGGGGCCGGGGCAGAGATCGAGGCTGCGCTTGGGCTGTGCTAGGTTGGTTGGTCCTGGTTGGTCACATGGGGTGAAGGGCAGGCCTGGTTAGACCCTGAGGTTGAGAATTTCAGCCTCCTAGGTTGGGATCCGGCCCGCAGGGTAGCAGAGTACAGTCTGCAGTGAGGCCCTGGGCAACTCCCTAGGGGAGGGCGGGGCCTCTCCATTAATACACAGTAGAGCTGGGTGTCTCCCACCTCTGTCCTCAGTGCTGTGGGTGGTGAGTGTGTATGAATGAGTGTATTTTGAGCGCTGCTGGGTATATGGCAAAGTGCATGTGTACATGGCATTGTTGGGTGGGGCATGTGTGTGACTGGTGACAGCGGAGGTAGGAGCGCTTGCTCATGCCGGTTTTTAAGAAGGTGAGAAAGTCTTTCTTCTTAGTATTATTCCTCCCCCCCTCAATTTGCTAGCCGAAGTGTGTACTTGCTGGAGAGAGAGAAAGTGAGAAAGCACCCCCCAGCGGGGGTGATCACACCATCATTGCGTCTCCATTTCTCCTTTCACGATTTTTGGCACACACACACACAACTGGTGTGTTTTTCACGCTGTGAGTTCTGGGACTCTAATGGTGGCAGTTGGCCATGTGAGATCCAGCTGCCTTGAGCACCATGACACGTGGGAGGCCTGGGGAAGGGAGGGGCCGAGGGAGTGGTGGGTGGGCGCACCTGTTCAGAACCCCACCCTCTGCGCTCAGGTTACTCGGTGGCTGTGCTGCACAAGGCCTGTGGCCCCTCCTACATGGCGGGGGCTCCTCAGTACAAGAGGCGTGGGGCCGTGTTTGAGCTCAGGAAGGAGAGCGGAAAGGCCAGTTTCATGCCTGTGCTGGAAGGAGAGCAGGTACCTGCTGGGGAGCACCCCTTCTTTTGGGGGGTCGGGATCTGGAGGTCCCAAGGGAAAGTCTGGCCCTGGGGCACCTAGTGGGTTGGGGTTCAGATTAGGTAAAGTGCAGGCCCTGGGATAGAGCTCAGGGATCCTGCCGGGGCCCCACACGTCTGATTGCTGGTGGCTTCCCCCCTGTGGGGCACAGGGCTGCTCTCCCAGACTCCTGCGTTACTCTAAAGGGCAGATGGACAAGAGACCCATACTTGATGATCCAGGAAGAGCACGAGTAGGGGGTCTAGCCTGGCCACAGGGGCCGCAGGGGTGAGGAGGCCTCCTCCGGCACTCCCTGCGTGCTGAGTTACTCCTCCTGGGCTGTAGATGGGGTCCTACTTTGGCTCTGAGCTGTGCCCTGTGGACATCGACGTGGACGGGACCACGGACCTCCTGCTGGTGGCTGCTCCCTTTTACCACATTCGTGGAGAAGAAGGCAGAGTCTACGTGTACCGCCTGAGTGGGCAGGTGGGGAACCTCCGTCTCCACGAGCTTGCTGAGGCCCTGGCTACCCAGCCTGGCACCGCAGGGGTGGGGCCTGGGAGTGCCCTGGCCCTGCCTCGTAGGAGCAGGTGCCGATGCGGAGGCATCAGGGTGGTTGGCTGCCAAGTGGGGCAGCTGCTCCACCTCCCTCCCACTTTCTCGCCCCAGAAACAGTGAGAGTTGTCGATGGTCACACCCCTTACAGCTGCGTGGTTGACAAAGCACATTTTGTCGGATGTGTCACTTGTTTCTCACAGTAACTGTGGGAGGTGGCTGTCACTCCCATCTTACAGATGTGAAAGCTGAGGCTCAGTGAGGCTCATATTTGGCCAAGCATACCCCGCAAAGGTGTGTGGTAGACCCTTGACGAGAACAGGCTTCTACTCGCCAGTTCTGTACCCCGACCTGGGGTTGGGAGGGAGGGGACAGGCTCTGGGTCCGGAATGTCCAGGCGAGAGGATCCGTTTTTACCACTGGCTCATCGTGTGACCTTGGGAAGGGCCTTTGGCTTTTCTGAGCCTCAGACTGCCTGCTCGGGAACTGGAATCCACAAGCCCAGCGAGCCTGCGCCTGGATGGCTGTGGGCACCCTGCCCCTCCCCCGAGGGCCGAGCTGCGTGTTTGCTTTGCAGGCTGCCTCCTTCTCCTTGGCACATGTGCTGACTGGGCACGCCGGCTTCACTGTTGCCCGCTTTGGCTTCGCCATGGCAGCCGTGGGTGATGTCAGTCAGGATAAGTTCACAGACGTGGCCATCGGGGCCCCTCTGGAGGGCTTTGGGGACGACGAGGGTGCCAGCTTTGGCAGCGTGTACATCTACAACGGACACCGGGGTGGCCTCTCTGCCAGCCCCTCACAGGTGACCTTTCAGTTCTCTCTTGCTTCTCTTCTGGGGTTCCCACTTCCCCCAAATAGAGTGACCTGAGCTCTGAGTTAGTGCCAGTCCTAAGTGCTGGGTAGGTCGCAGGGGCTTGGGAGTGCCCTGGAGTCACTCAGGCCAGGGGGCCATTCCAGGCCAGGGCCTCACCCCAGCCCCTGCAGGTGGCAGGAGCAGTCTCCTTCCCTGACCCGAGTCTCGCTCCTTTCCCATTCCCAATGGGGAGCCCCAGGTCCCTCCTTCCTTTCTCCCTGTGGCTCTTGCGCCCCACCCAACCTGTCTAGGTCTTAGCTCTGGCTCTCAGGGCTTCTCTGCCAGCCTCTCACACTACACCTCCCATGGTCACCTTCCCCCACCTCCAACTGCCTCCTGAGCACTTCCACCTGGATGGCCCCCAGATTCACCCTCACTGCCCAGTGGAGAGCAGACCTGCTGCTGCTCTGGGCCCATCCCCCTCCAGCCCCACTAGAAACTGGGCCAGTTCCGGGCACTCTGGTGCTGTTACTATTACTATAACTCATTCTAACCTATTCCTGCCCTGTCCTAAGGATTCTAGCTCTCTCTCAAGTCCAGCCCCTCCCGTCCATGTTCCTCGGCACCGTCCCAGCTTGGGCCTTGCTATCTGTCCCCTAGACTCCTCCCTTGCCAGCTTCGGTGCCCACCTCCTGCCCAGCCCCTGCTCTGTTTCCTGCAGTGGCATTTCTTAAATGTAGCACTGCTTAGACCACTTCAAAAAAGCCTTTGCAGACCCCCCAGCCCCAATTCAAGTCCTCTTACCCCCAACTCCTGCCCCACTCTCCCCCAGCTTGTCCCTGGCTGTTGCCTTGGAGTTCCTGCTCTCTCCTACCCCTCACTTCCCCTCACTCCCCTCCCTGCTCTCTCCTACCCCTCACTTCCCCTCACTCCCCTCCCAAGTCCCACCTGCCCTTCAAGGCCCCATTCAAGGGTCACCTCCTCTGGAACCCTGCCCCTCCTTCCTGTTTCTGGGTGGGGGGCTGGGGGTGGCGGGGAAGCCCACAGCCCCAATTCAAGTCCTCTTACCCCCAACTCCTGCCCCACTCTCCCCCAGCTTGTCCCTGGCTGTTGCCTTGGAGTTCCTGCTCTCTCCTACCCCTCACTTCCCCTCACTCCCCTCCCAAGTCCCACCTGCCCTTCAAGGCCCCATTCAAGGGTCACCTCCTCTGGAACCCTGCCCCTCCTTCCTGTTTCTGGGTGGGGGGCTGGGGGTGGCGGGGAAGCCCACCTGAATAAAGCACAGGAGGACCGCCCCCTCCTGCCTCCCACCCGTGCCCTGTGTTTTCCTCCACAGCGTATCCGAGCCTCTGCCTTGGCCCCAGGACTCCATTACTTCGGCACGTCTGTGGCTGGTGGCTTAGATTTCAGCGGCGACGGGCTTGCTGATGTCACTGTGGGCACGCTGGGCCGCGCCGCCGTGCTCTGGTAGGGGTCGCCCCCTCTGCCAACCTTACCCACTTGCCCTGCCCTAAAGGGCCACGCAATTTACCAGGCCCTGGGGGAGGGAGAGCAGTGATTAAGTGGTCCTGGACGCGCCTCTCACCACACACCCTTGGGTTTCGTCGCTTCTGTGCTCCATCCCTAAGGGAAGTCAGGTCTCATGGAGCGTCTGTCTGCCCTGTCCTCTTGCAAAGCGTCCGGCGTGGCTGTCTCCTCCGCACCGCTCTTGGCTGCTGCTCACAGGCGTCTATAAACGGAGCTTCCGCCCTCACCCACTCCTCTTTCCCCAATCTGCCTCTCCCTCAGGCTTCCTCTCAGCAAGGGGCGCCATCATCTACCAAGTTCAAAATAACATCCTAGGAGTTGGGACCAGCAGATGGTTTCGTGGCTGGACTGAGTCTAGGACCTGTGACTTGAAACTCATGGCTGGTGTCCATGCATGCCCAAAATCCCGAGAGGAGAATGGAGCAGAGGCATTGTGGTGTGGCCATCCCCACGTGGGGTGATTTCTCACTTTCTGTCTCTCTGTCTGGAGAGCATACATGCCCTATAGCAAAAATCTCTCTAAAAACCTAAAGCCAAACAAACAAAAAACAACGAACAAACAAACAAAACCTAGGAGTCATCCTCGTTCTTTTGCCTCCCCGCACCACCCCACCACCCCGTTGTCGTTGGCTCTGCGGCAGAGTACCTCCCAGTGCAAGGTGCCTGGGCCAGTGCCACGGCCGTCCCCCTGCTCCACTCACGGTACTCCATCCGCCACACGGCAGCTGGAACACTCCCTTCACGCGGCCACCTAAAGCCCCTTGACCACTGCCCCTGAGAGCAGAGTCGAAATTCTTTACTGAGGTCGGCAGGGCTCTCTGTGACCTGGCCTGTCCACCTCTCCGATCCCATTACTACCCTCTGTGTCTCCAATAAAGCTGTAGCCGGCTGACCTTCGCGTCCCGCAAACAAACCAAGCGCGTTCTTTCCACAGGCCCTGTACGAGCTGTGCTTTCTGCCCCAATGCTCTTCCCCCAGGTCTTCCCACAGCTGGCTGGCTCTTGTTACTAGTTCTCAACTCCTGTGCCTCCTCCTGACTGAGGCCATCCCTCACCACCTAATCTAGCTAGCCCCCAGTCTCTTTTACTATATCCTATTTTTAAAAAGAATCATTATTATTATTATTATTATTTTGGAGAGGTTTTTGCTATAGGGCACGTGTGCTCGCCAGAAAGACAGAGAGAGACAGAGAGACAGAGAGAGAGAAAGAGAGAAATCATCCCCCCCGGGGGGAGGGCCATGTGGCAATCTCTTCTCCTCCATTCTCCTCTTGGGATCTTGGGCACGCACGCACAGGTGCCCGGCATGAGTTTTAAGCCACCGGGTCTGGGACTCGAACCATGGTCGACTACGTGGGAGTCCAGCGACATAGCCATTACGCTAACTGCTGGTCCCAAAAAGAATTATTAATTTAATTTTATTTATTCTTTTTTCTTTTTTAATTTGACCAGAGAGAGACACAGAGGTGGGGGGGGGAGTGAGAAAGCAAGCTACCAGGTCTGGGACTCAAACTATGGTTGGCCATATGGGAGTGTCCAGTGCCTTAACCACCATGCCCCCTGCTGGCCCCATCACATCCTAGTTTATCACAGCATTGCTGTACGTACTATTTCCATTTCTTCTCGCTTATTTGCTTGCTGTCTGCAGTCTCTACTGTACCCTAAAGACTCGGAGCCCCATGCTAGAGATGTCAGAGGATGCCTGACTGACCCAGTGCCTCAGCCAAGCGCTGACCTGGAAGTCCTTCTATGTCTCACGGTTCTCTTTGTCGTCTTTAGCTCACGACCTGTGGTTCGCCCAAAGGTGTCCATGACCTTCACCCCTAGTGCGCTGCCTATTGGCATCAGCAGCAGCGTGGATGCATCTTTGTGTTTTGAAATCAGCCCTGCCACAACTGTCACTGAGTCAGGTAACAGGCAGCCTGGCGACCCCGTCCTCCCAGGGTCGTCTTCCTTACTGGCTTCTGTAGGGGACAGGGAACGAGTTCTGGGGCATGAAGGAGAGAAGTGATGGCACGAAGTCCTGGAGCCGGAGGTCCCCTTGTCATTCGGTTCTGTTCAGCGTGACTACCCCAAGGCAGGGTGGGCTCGCGTTATTTTTACACTCTGAAGGGGTTTGTCTGACGCTGCTGGGAGGGGCATTGGGTCTCCCCCAGAGTGGAAGGGTTGAGTCTCAAAGAAGGCTCAGAAAGAGGCGGTTGTTTCTCATCTCCCAGCCACTGTGCCCTTGGGGGCAGAGGAGTGTGTGGGGGCTCCTGAGAAGTTTCCTTCTTTTTCTCTGCTTTTCATTTTCTTCCCTTACTTCCTCACTGTGTCTCCTTGGCTCAGGTGGGACTGGGTAATCTGCCAGAGGCCCGGCCTCTCTTATCCCTTCCCTGACACTTGTTGGGAGACTGGTTCCAGAAAGGAGAGGGCAGGCCTGGCTTTCGTTGCCGATCCAAGAGCTCCCTTTGGAGAAACCCCTCAGCAAGAGTCCCCAGGGTGGATCTCTCGAGAGCAACCCTAAGACAGCTCTCTGCTTCCTGCAGTCAGGGAGCAGACATCCTAGGGAGAGGTAGATGTACCACGGGAGGGGCACAAAGCCTGCCGAGAGCTGTGTGAGACTGGGCAAATGTCTTTCCCTTGCTGGGCCCATTTCTGTTCTGTACAGGAGGGGAGCTGGCCCAGGTGGTCTCCAAGATGCTCCCTGCCCTGCTAGCCTTGGGTTTTACTCGGCTTCTGTCTCCAGGATTCATCCTCCTTCTCTTCATTTTCTTATCATTCCAACCTCCTCCGCGAGGAGAAGGCTGACTCAGCCCTGGAACGAGCTGCCATGGGTTTAGGGGCTGGAGCACTGAGAGACCCTGGCTGGGTGTGGGAAGACAAGAAAAGAACCTTCACGGTGAAGGAGAACCTCAGGAGCCCAGCCCCAGCTGAGTGCCCGCAGGAACCTCGGGCAGGCAGGGGCCCTCTGTCGGGGGCCTGCTCATCCTGTCCCATCAGGAAGGCCCCGTCTTCATTCCCAGACCTCAGAGAAACATCTTTCAACCTCACACTGGACGTGGATGTGATGAAGCAGAGGAAAAGGATGCAGTGCGAAGACAAGGAAGGCTGTCTGAGCCACCGCGGGCAGTGGAGCAGAGGGTTCCGTCTTTGTGAGCACTTCCGACTTGTCCCCACAGAGGGAGAGGTAGGTGGAGGAGCTTGGAGGAGAGCTGAGAGGGGTCTGTGTCACTGAGGAAAGAGTTGATGTGCATGCAATGGAGCATACATCTGCACATACAAATGCAGCCATTATGATAATCATGACAGACTGAAGGGGTCAGCAGGTGATGTGGTGGTTAAGGGCATTGGACTCCCACATGGCTGACTGTGGTTTGAGTCCCAGACCTGGCGGCTTGCTTTCTCACTTTCCTTTTCTCTCATTCTGTCTTTCTCTGGTGAAATTAAAATGAATAAATAAATAAAGATAAATAATTCTAAAGAAAAAAAGTTTAAAATAAAATAAAAAAATCATGATAGACCGAGACTCACACAATAACATGCCAGATGGAGATAACACCAGAAACCTGAATTAGAGAGACCTGCTGAAACAGAGCACAGCAATATCTCTGAGCCTCCTAGAAGCTGGACAAAAAGGAGATGCCTTAACTGGTGACATTTTTCTTGGTAGTAAATCAGGAATAGGCGTCTCTCCTTACGTTCTCCAATCTTAGCTGATAAAACAGTGGGGCTGAAGGCCCTGATGCAAATCAACACCAGAAAAACGGAATGACAGAAAGGCAGAAATCGATAGATGTTATCCTTTAGAATGGATCACTCCTGGCAAAGGTGCTCAGAGACGTGAAAAAAATGTCTTCGTTGGGACACAAAGCCTAACAGGACGCAGACATTTGGACCTCAAAGGGTAATTTATTCCAATAAACAAACTCATGAACGATGCTTCTGACTACACCTCTGCTCCCAAGGCAGATTGGTAATTGGATTGAGAAATATAGACCTCGAACAAGTCTATGGCCTTCCTTAAATCAGAGCATACCTGAGCCTGGCAGGCGGGTGGTGGTTAAGGTGCTGGACTCCTACATGGCTGATTGCGGTTCAAGCCCGCAGACATGGTGGCCTGAAAATCACAACAAATAAATAAATAAGTAAATAAATGTTCAAAAATACACTATAGTGTGATATTAAAATTCCCATAGTAAACATTTTTTTTACTTTTAAAAAAGTACTTTATTTAACTTTATTTATTGTTATTATCGTTATTATTTTAATTTGACCAGAAAAAGAGAGAGAGAGAAAATGAGAAAGCAAGCTGCCAGGTCTGAGACTTGAACTACCATCAGCCCTGTGGAAGTCCAGAGTCTTTAACCACAATGCCACCTGCCAGCTGCCCCATAGTAAACATTTTTTAAAAAATCAGAGCATAACTGCATTTTCCACTAGGGGGCCATGCTTACTTAACTTGCATGTATTCAAAACACTTATTTTGGCAGAAAAGCTCTTCTAAACAAAGAGAATGGTAAATGGAGTCCCGAGCAGTCTTCTCACTTTCAGTTTTTATTTCTCTACGTCCACTCTGCTACCTTGAGAAAAATCTTTGTAATCACAGATGTGACCACGGCTCTTCCCTCCCAAGTCTCCCCTTTGCCCTCCAAATAAGGCCAAGCCAGTTCGTCACCCCTGGTGGCCAGAATCCCTCTGTGACTGGGGTGGGAACCATAAGGAACTGTAAGACCCAAGGCCACAGCCAATGAAGGGAGATATTCCCAAAGCTCTTGGCAGCTTGCTTGAAGGGAGTTTCTCTTCAGCCTGGTTCATTTGGAAGATGTTTAGGATTTCTGACTTACTACTTTCATTGTTAGTTTCTTCTTATGACCACATCAAAATTAAAAGTATTCTCCTTGTTGTCTTCTCCCCCACATCCAACTCTAACCCTGCCTTTGGGGATGAGCCTGCAGCTCTGTGAGGAGGACTGCTTCTCCAACATCAGTGTCAAGGTCAACTACCAACTCCAGACCCCCAAGGGATGGAGGAGCCGTCTCTACCCCATTCTGGACCACTACACTGAGCCCTCCGCCATCTTCCAGGTGACTGTCCGCAGCTGGGACCCAACCCTCTGGGGCCTATCCCCCCAAAAAAGCTCCTGTTTCCCCAATTTTCAAAGAAAGCTGGAGTGGGGAGAGAAGGTATTCAGAGAGCAGTTGGTCTCTCAGGGTACAAATGGGGAAACCGAGCCCCTGAGATGGTGTTAATTTGTGCAGAGCCTCACTGGTGGGTAACATAGGTCTACAACTAACCCCCCCCCCATACACACACACCCTTAGGACTCATCCCTTCATGTTCACAAAAAGCACTTGCTACATATTTAATGAAACATTTAAATGTGTCATGTACATGGGCCCTCAGCATCTCTGATGATGGCTGGTGGGGGGTCCCTGGTGGGGCTGGACTGCCCGGTGCTACAGAGAGGATGACTTGGCACACCTGTCCTCTCTGGTCCTGTTCAGAGCTTTCAGGATGAGTGTCTGGTCCCGCCCACACTGCATCCTACCGGCTCCTCCTCGTGCCCATCAGTGCAGTGAAGACAGGTGGATAGTGTCACAAGAAACTTGTCTCATAATGAAAGAAATCGGGGCAGTGGGGCGTAATTAGTCAGATTTCCTGATCCTGTGATATCTAAGGTGATTTTTCCCCACCCCCTCTCCACCCCTTCTGTCAAAGCCCTGGCCTCCCGGGGTAGTCATCAATCTGTTTGGAATGTATAGAAAAACTACTAGGAAGGAAGGGACAGCGTGAGCGTTACGAAGTAACCTTTACAGTTAGTCGGGATAAATGGTCTCCAAAACAATAAACAGCTGGACCAGCCAGTGGCATGGCGGTTAAGGTGGTTGGATCCTGCATGGCGACTGTGTGATTCCAGTCCTAGACTGATGACTTGAAAAACATGCTGGGTACACGTGCGGGCATGCCCAAAATCCTGAGAGGAGAAACGGAGGAGAAGGGATTGTGGTGTGGCCATCTCCCCCGGGGTTGCTTTCTCACTGTCCCTCTTTCTTGTCTCTCTGTATCTCTCCAGTGAGCGTACATGCCCTGTAGCAAATTAGAAAGCAAATAACACAAAACAAAAAGTACAAAATAGTTTATGCAGGTATAGAAAGCTTCAGGTAACAAAGAATATTTCCAGGTAATCATAGGACGCTCATGACTGTCCAGTGTTTTTACAAAAAAAGTTCTGTATTAATTAAATGATAAAAGACCTTTAGCTCCAGTTTTGAATAACACCCAATAAAACTGACTAGAAATGGGGGAGCTGTTGTGACTGTTCTCATCTTTTTTTTTTTGAGAAAGAGGTTTTTGCTATAGGGCGTGTGCACTTGCCAGAGAGACAGAGAGACAAAAAATGAGAAAAAAAAACAAAAAACCCAGGGGGGATGGCCACGCCGCAATCCCTTCTCCATTCTCCTCTCAGGATCTTGAGCACACACGCACATGTACCTGGTGTGAGTTTAAGCCACCAGGTTCAGGACTTGAACCGCGGTCAACTACATGGGAGTCTGGCAACATAGCCATTACGCTAACTGCCGGTCCCAGACTGTTCCCACTTTCATCCCACCAGGAAGGGGGAGAATCAGATTCCCTGTGAGCAAAGATTGCCTTCTTCATTTTTTTAGGCAAAGAAACTTTATTTTAAATTTATAATGGTATGTTATATATGTGTGTGTGTGTATGTTGTGTATATATATATGTGTGTGTATATGTATATGTATTACATATAAATAATTATTTTATTTTATTTTATTTTTTAAAATTTATTTTATTTTATTTATTTATTCATTGTATTTTTTAGTTTGACCAGAGAGAGACAGAGGGTGAGAGTGAGAAAGCAAGCCACCAGATTCAGGACTTGAACACTGGTTGACCATGTAGGAGTGTCCAGCGCCTTAACCGCCACGCCACCTGCTGGTCCCAATAATTATTTTATGTTACAGAGAGATTTTTGCTATAGGGCATGTCCGCTCACCAGAGAGACAGAGAGACAGAGAAAGAGAGAAATAACCTCGCCCCCCAGAGGGAGATGGCCACAATCCCTTTATTCTCCTGGGATTTTGAGCACACATGCACGTGCCCTCAGTATGATCCAGGCTGTCAGGTCTGGGACTCACACTGCAGTTGCCCACGTGGGAGTCTAGCACCTTAACCACTACGTCACTTGCTGGCCCTGGTATATTTATTTTTAAAAGAATTTTGAAAATTTTGGTATCAATAGCAAGTTAGGCGATTTAGGAAAGACGGGGAGAATGAATGTAATAAAGTTTGGCTATCAGTAGATAGGCACTAATTATGTATGTTCTTTCAAAAAATGTTTTATTTTGAAATAGTTAGCTTACCAGTTACAGGAACTGTCCAGAATCCTCATTTGAGAGTAAGTTTCAAGTGTGATATCTCTTTACAGCCCCATTCTTCAGTAAATATTTTCTAAACACAAGGGCATTCTCTTACATAGAATAGTATAATCATCAAAATCAGGAAATTAATATTGACAAAATACTAATATCTAGTCCACACATTTTTTTTTTAACTCAGTTTGCCAGTTGTCCTCTTAACATTGTTTTCTTTTCTGGAGATATTTTTGCGATAGGGTGCGTGCGCTCGCCAGAGAGAGACATAGAGACAGAAGGCGAGAAATCACCCCCCAGGAGGGATGGCCATGCCCCAATTGCTTCTCCTCCATTCTCCTCTCGGGATCTTGGGCACGCACACACACGCACCTGGCGCGAGTTTAAACCACCGGGTCCGGGACTCGAACCACAGTCGACTACTTGGGAGTCCAGCGACATAGCCATTATGCTAACTGCTGGTCCCTCCTCTTAACATTGTTTTTAACAAAAGGAAAAAATAAATTTCTGGGGCTGGCCTTGTGGCATAATGGTTAAGGTAGCTGAATCCCACATGGCTGACTGTGGTTCAAATCCTGGCCTCGGGGGCTTGAAAAACACTCTAGGCAAAACCTGACAGGATGGAGAAATGGAAGAGAAAGGATTGCGGTGGGACCACGCCCTCTGAGGGTGTGCTTTCTTGCTTTCGCTCTCCCTCTATCTCTCCCTGGCAAGCACACCATACCCCTGGCCAAAAACATGCAAGTTCTGGTCCAGGGTCATTCATTGTGTTTTATTGTCATTTAATTTTCATCTCCTTTAATCTGGAACTGCTCCTCACTCTTTCTTTGTCTTTAATGACCTTGACATTTTTGAAGGGCACAGGACAGTCATTTTGTAGAGTGCTTAATTTGGGTTTATCTGATGTTTCCTCAAGATTAGATTTAGGTTATGCACTTTTGGCAAAAATATCCCAGAAGTAAAGCTGTAGCGTTAATATATCACATTAAGAGGCACCTATGTTGATGTGTCCCGTTACTAATGCCATTCCCCTTCGGACTTAATAAGTATTTTTGTGAGACGCTATGAGATTATGTACATATCCTGCTTAACATTTCTTTCTTTCTTTTTTTGCTAGAGGGCATTTGAGAGACAGAAACAGGGGGAGAGGGGTGGGGAGAAAGTACCCCCAAATGGGGCATGATCACAACACAACCCCTGCTCCTCCTTTTGTCCATCCTGTTGGGATTTGGGACTCACAGGCACATGTGCTTGGCAGTTTCTTAAGCTGGGGGGCTGGGACTCGAACCATAGGTCGGCCATGTGGGATCCAGCTGCCTTAACCACAATGCTCCTGACTGGCCCCTCTTTGTGATTCTTAATCAAGCTCTACTATTATGGTTTGGCAAAGAGATTTTAAAAAATTAGTCCATCTATAAAATAAGTGAGGAAAAGTGATTAGGTGTTGGGACGCAGAAGTTCCTAGAGAATGAGTACTAGCTGGAGAGCTGGCTAACCCTGCTCTCTTTCACTGGGGGTGGGTGAAAGAGAACAGGCTACTTGGATATATTAAAACCAAACAAGGGAGATCAACAGATGGCGTAATGGTTACATCTCTGGACTCTTACATAGTCTACCATGGTTCGAGTCCCAGACCCGACGGCTTAAACCTCACGCTGGGCATGTGTGCGTGTGTGCCCAAGATCTCAAGAGGAGAATGGAGGAGAAGGGATTGTGGTGTGGCCATCCCCCCGGGGGGTGATTTCTCACTTTCTGACTCTGTCTCTCTCTGTCTTTCTGGCGAGTGCATGTGCCCTATAGACAAAAACAAAAAAATCTTAAAAAAAAAAAGGGACCTGCAGATGACATAATAGTTATATCGCTGGACTCCCATTAGTCGACTTTGGTTCAAGTCCTGGACCTGGCAGCTTAAAACTCATGCTGGATGCCTGTGCTTGCATGCCCAAAATCCCAAGAGGAGAATGGAGGAGAAGGGATTGTGGTGTGGCCATCCCCCCGGGGGGAGATTTCTCACTTTCTGACTCTGTCTCTCTCTGTCTTTCTGGCGAGTGCATGTGCCCTATAGCAAAAATCTCTTAAAAACGAACAAACAAACAAAAAAAAAAAGTGCCCTATAGCAAAAATCTCTTAAAAACTAACAAACAAACAAAAAAACCGCAGAAAACCCTGCATAAAGCTGTTGACCCAGTTAGAGTTCCACACTCTGACATCAGCAAATTGCATCTCCCTTCTCCAAGAAGCAGTTTCCTTTCAAGCTCTGGGCTCTGGTTCCAGCCCATGATGACAGTCCTGTAGAAAGCTGCTGGGGTGACCATTGCCTCCTGGGGGATCAATGCAGAGGTTCCTCAGCTAAGGAGCTGGCTGTGTTTGCTTCATAATAAAAAAATAAACGTAGCTACTTTAGAACATTTGACTTTCCAGGACCAGTGGTTGGCGTAATGGCTATGTTGCTGGACTCCCATGTAGTTGACTACGGTTCAAGTCCTGGACCTGGTGGCTTAAACTCACGCTGGGCATGTGTGCGTGCGTGTCCAAGATCCTGAGAGGAGAATGGAGAAGGGATTGTGGCGTGGCCATCCCCTTTGGTGATTTCTCACTTTCTGTCTCTCATGACACACTTTTTACATAGAAAAACATGCATCCTCACTTTTCTGACAGCCCAGTACTGGTTAGGTGGCCCCCCTTTCTGCCCCTGCTGGGCCTACCTACACTTGAAAGGAATAGAGAAGCTTTTCTTCTGCTAGGTTTTACCCCTGAAACGTGCAGAGCAGTGAGCTGTGAGGGATGCCATTTCATTTGCATGATGTCACTGTGATGGGCGTACCCACCATTCCATGAAGTTCACCCCGTTTTGACCTTGGTCAGAGGCTTGCCTCCCGGTGTGCCCGTGCTGTAGAATGGCCCCGGGAATGTCAGTCACAGCTCTCCCAGCTATCTGGGCACATTCCCAGCCCGGCTGGCTTCCCCTCCCTGTATGCACTGCTCAGTGAGCAGGACAGGCCTGTGTCCTTAGGAGATGATCGTGAGGGGAGCTGCTGGGGAAGGGGGCCCCTGGGCTAACCCTGCCCCTCTTGTCTGGTTCCAGCTGCCCTATGAGAAGGACTGCAAGAACAAGCTCTTCTGTGTCGCTGAGTTACACGTGGCCACCGCCATCTCTCAGTGAGTCTACAATGACCCTCCTCCTGCATGCGCACCTGGGCCTCCTCTCGCAGGATCCACCTCGTGCTCGCTTTCCCTTCCCTCCTGACCCACAGAGGCCTTCCACACTTACTAGTTCATTATGTCTTCAGACACCCCAATGAGCAAGGTGAGACAGGGACTTTGGCTCCCATTTTGTAGGTTAGTAGCTGAGGGCCTTTCACAGGGTCGCCGTGGCTGTTTGGTGGATTTAAACCCAGGTCTCTTGACATCCTGGGTGATGCCATGTTCACAATCCGTATTCTCCACTGCTCGGGCCGCTTCAGTTAGAACTAACCTCTTCCCTGGCTCATTGCTTGGCTAAATGAATGAATTACTCAGCAAATATTTCTAGAGCATCTACTTGGTACTAAGCACCCTAGGTGCAGGGGGTACTTCAGGGAACAGCACAGACAGAAATTCCTACCTCCTGGGGCTTCTAAGAGAAGATAATAAATAAGTAAATTCCGTGTGGATGGGAGGGAAACTAAGGCAAGGAAGGAGTACGAGGTAGAGGTGGGTAGGGCTGGAGTTTGAAATGGGGCAGGGGGTGAATTGTGGCACACAAGGGGGGGGGGATAAACTTTGTGAATGCCCTGAGGTAGGGACATGCCTGGCAGGTGGGACAAAGGCGAGGCCCCAGTGGTAACAGTGCACTGAGGGTGTGGGAGGGGCTTCATAGGCTCTCATGAGGGCAGACAGAGAAGTGACACGATCTTACATTTTAACAGGATTCTTCTTTTTTGGGGGGTGGGGGGAGAGGTTCTTGCTGTAGGGCGCATGCGCTCACCAGAAAGCAGGATTCTTCTTTTTCGGGGGGGGGGGGGAGAGGTTCTTGCTGTAGGGCGCATGCGCTCACCAGAAAGAGAGAGACAGAGAGACAGAAAGCGAGAAATCACCCCCCAGGGGAGAT